GCTACGACTTAGCCTGATCCTGTGGAGTTCCTCATTCCTCCACTGGGATCTTCACCTTGAAATCTTGGCGGAGCATCAAAGAGTCAGGATGAAAATCTTGGCAGAAGCAAGAAGCCACGTATAAACCACATAACAAGTACAACCTGCTCAGATTCTGGCTTCACCCCCTTTGCTGCCTCGGTGGTGCTGACAGTTGCTGTCTGTGTGACTCAGTGCAAACAGCTTTATGACTCTTACGGGGGAAGGGTCTTGGTGGTCTGTGTTTACTAATGGAAGCACTCTCTCTGCCTAAGAAATCACATTGATTTTTTTTCCCTCCACAATACAGCACTGCCCTGCAGAGTCTGCCAATGAATATGAGAACAAAACTTGAAGCTTAGAAGCTTTTGACAACTGAAGCCCAGGTTCTCGATTTGAGTAGGAAAATAGCAGCACTGCAAAAATGTGAATAAGGAGGGCACTGGGCTGGGCTATCAGCTGATCCTCAACCTCTGAAGCATCCTTCTGAATCCCTGGTTAGTGGTGGCACGAGGGCCGCCAGGCAGAGGGCACACAGTGGAAAATTCCTAGCCCTGGTCACCTTTGTGAGAGAGGCAGTCTTTACTGCATGGCTTGGAGGTTTCCAGGAAGAAATGGAAAAAGAAAAGAAAGTGCTTCAATCCCCTCTTTCGACCAAGCAGTGTGTGTGATAGTAGCTGGGTAAAGAGGAATGACCCAGATAACCCTGGTCTAAATTCATCAGCATCAAAAAATCTCAGAACAGATTCAGCCCATCAGCAGCACTCCGGCTGTATCCACAGAGAGAGCGTTCCCATTTATGATGCTGACATAGGCAACTAACAAAGATGGATTGGAAGAAAAGGCCCACAAAGCTGTATGTTTCAGACTAAAAAGAAAAAAAGGAACTCTGATTCACAACTGCTAGCTTAATGGCAACAAATTCGTTTTCTTTGATAGCACTGGCTCTGAAATTGTCACTGCTGGAAGGAAAAACAAAGCTCATCGCTCATTCATTCAACAACTGTTGAGTGAGCACTCGCTAAGGGCTGGTGCTGTTGCAACGGCTGGAGAAGACGCAGCTCTTGTCTTTGTGGAGCTGATGAGCTATGAGCTAGCATGATCTAGCATGAACTTTGCTGCCTCCAGACCAGCCCTGGGTGGAGAAGTAGCGTGCCCAGGAATGCTCACAGATGTGTGAGTTGAACTCCAAACGAGGAGATGTAAAGGTTTTTAAGCAGAGAACAAGGTCAGGTTTCACTTTAGTTGGAAACTCTTGTGGTGGGAAGGAGAATGTTAATTATTTACAGTGTGCCAAGTAGAAATCTGTCTGGAAATGGTTTGCCTTCTGAACTGGTTGTTTCTCTTATTCTCAGTCCCTGGCATGTTCATGGTAGACACAACCACCAAAACTGCCCAGGAAACTCACCCTTCTCCCTTTTGGTGGGTTCCAACCGCAGTCTGGATTCTGGGTGCCGAATGGTGGTGGGGTTGGGGCTGCAAGGGAGTCCCCACCGGGCATACTTTGCCTAAGCTGTTACTACAGGCTCCTGATGACAGCTGTAGCCCTTTGTGGTCTAACTGCCAGGTCTACAGAGAAAGAATTCTGCTTGCAACACAGACCAGCAGAGCTTCTGGGAGCCCATATTTGACAAAGAGTGTGTAGGGCTGAGCCCTATGGGGCCCTTTCTTCCATATACATTAAGTAACTCTAAGACTCCAGGACAGGCAAGGGGTGGCTCTGAGTGTGAGAGCTGAATCCAGAGTGCCATTCATCCCCAATAACCTCTTCCTCTAGAACAAGGTTTTCCAGCCTCCACAATAGTGACATCCTAGGCCGGATCATTCTTTGCTGTGTGGGGCTATCTTGTGTTTTACAGAATGTTTAGCAGCAGTAGCCCTGGCCTCTACCCACCAGATACCAGTAGCACCTTCCCCATGTTGTGACAACCAGAAATGTCTCCGGACATTGCCAAGCACCTTTGGGAGGCAAAATAGCCCCCAGTTGAGAACTGTTCTAGAGGACAGTTTCCCATTCTTTTCTTATTTGATTTCTCAGTAACATTCAGCACAACTGATTACTCTTTTCCTCTTGAAACTTGCATTCCTTAGTGCATCCCCCTCGTCTTTCTCCTCTCTTATCAGTTCTTCGTGGACTCCTGGTGCCTCCCTGCCCTCTGCCTGGTCTCCAAACACTGCCACCCATTAAGGCTCAGACCTCAGCCACTTTCCTATTTACATTTTGTGCTTTCTTCCTCTCTTCTGTCTACAGGATTTAAAAATCTCCTCTTCCCTAAATACTCCCAAATTTGTCTCCAGCCTGTAACTCTCACCTAAGCTCCAGACACACTTGTATTTGTTCTCAATGCCTCACTGGCATTATAAATCCACCCATCTTTCTCCAAAATCTATTCCTTTCTCATCATCCCATTTCAGTAAGTGGCACCCCCATTCGTCTGTTGCCCAACCCAGAATCTTTGAGGTCATCCCAACTCCTCTTTCTCTCTCATCCCCACATCTGGTCCATGATAAATCCCTGTCAACTCTACCTTCAAAATATACCTCAAACCGTCCACGCCTCTTTTTCTGCTGCCAGCCCTCCAGTGCAAGTGACTGTATAACCCAAGTAGCCAATAATATACATCATGGTAGTGACCTCGGTGGTCAGACTTCCACTCTGCCCTCACCAGTCCATTCTCCATCCAGAGAAATCTTTTCAAAGCATAAATCAGATCCTATGATGCCCCAGCTTCAATTCCTGGCAAGGCATTCCATTGCACTGGAATAAAACCCAAGTATCCCAGCATGGCCCCTTCCTCCTTCCAACCTCCCTTCATGCAGTTCCTCCTCTCGTGGGTGCTGCTGCCGCCACACTGGCCTCTGCCAGCTCCTCACACGCGTCACCTGGGGCCTCTTGCACATGCTTCTGCTTCCATCTGGCATGCTGTCCCCAGATCTTCTCATCCGCAAGTCTCAGCATGACTGTCATTTCTTCCAGAACATCTCTCCCGATCCCGTACTCTTAAATCCAGTTTCCTTATCATCTCTCCCTGTACCTTCCTTCTTGCACTTGTGACTTTTACTCCATATATATCTGTGTGATTATTTCTTTATCTTTGGACTCCCCTGCTAGATTCAGAGTGTCCTGTGGGGAGGGACCCTTAGTGTCTCTTTTGATTATTGCCATGTCCCCATCTAAAACACTGCATGAGACACTCAGTGAACACTCAGTAAATATTTATTGGGTGAATGACTATTGACCTCTCATTTCCTCGATCAAACTGCACCCAGGAAAGAATACTTTATGACCCAGGGAAAGAGGTATGGATGAATGACTCTGAAGACTTAAGAAAAAAGCTTCTCAAATGTGTGCCGATAACAAGCAGCTTTCTAGTGGTGGTTCTTGGGAGCAAAAAGGACAGGAAAATGAGTCAGGCACCCGTTGACTAGAAATGAGATGTGTTGATTTCTTCATTAATATTCTATATTTGTCTGAAGGCTTTCTACAGAACCAAGAGGGAACTCCCTGAGGATCAGCGGGACCACATCAAAGCACTCTAAGAGAAGAACTGAAATTAGTTCCCAGTTTTCTGGCAATGCTACCTTCCTGGAAGGCCCAGAGCTCCCAAAGAGGCCAAGATGTTCAGGCAGGACAGCAGTCCACGGGGCTCAAAGAACCACAGCTTTACTCAATTCTTTGCACAATGCGCTGCATGTCATTAAAGCCCCGTTAAGTACTGAAACCAAAGAATGCCCATGGAGCCCTGTGTATCTCTCTCTTCAGCAGGTCCACAGTTACGCAGAGAGCATTTAACTTTGTTGATCTTAAAGTGCACAGATGTGGTTGGCTGCAGGGCATAATGAGAGTTGATGACGTTAAAATGCTTGGACTTTGGGTGGATGTGTGCCACACAGTGACCCACATCGGCCTCTCCCCGGTCATTGCAGGGACAGCAGCTGAGGAGCACGTGCCTGCAGTTAAACAGCTAAGCATGTGCTGAGATCAGATAAGACTTTATACTCAAATGAATCCTGAGATGTGGAGGCAAAAATCCTGGAACGACATGGGTACCCCAGTTTGCTTGTGTAATGCTGGCATTCATTGCGAATGGGTTTACTTATCACGTCTTCCATCAGCCTGAATGAATCTGAGAGAGGAGTTTCAAGGTCCATGTGTTATGGCTCAAGGACGCGTCTTGGGCTCTGATTCCAAACATACTGGGACTGGTGGCGTGTTGCTAAACAACAAAAATAGCCCTGCATCTGCTGTCATTGCAGGTCTGCGACGTTATTTACAAGCAGGTCACCCAAGTTCCGTCAGCAGTCATTAATAAGGAACTAAACGGATATAAATGGTGACTCGCAGGGACCATAAAATAAGAAGGTAGAAGTAAGGCAGAGGAAGGATTCTGGTAGGGTGAAAAGCAGACAGAAAGAAATCCTCCAATATTTCTCAGCCAAGAAGAAAGAATAAGAAGCCCTCAGGAAGGTGCTGCCTATTTTGAGAGAGAGACTCAGTGCTGGGATGAGCCGTCAAAGTTTTTTTTTTTTTTGCTCAAGAAACTGAAATCTAATGAGCCGTCAAAGTTTTGAGAACAAATTGAGTTTTCTTTGTGTTAGACTCCAAAGATACAAATAAAACACAGTCCCTGCCCTCCCAGAGCATGCAGGAGAAAGGCCGCTGGGTTTCAGAGAGGCGGGTGTGTTCGAAGGCTCAGCCTTGTGGATATTGATGTTGCTCAGAAAGATGGCAGAGTTTACAAGACAGGAAACTAAATCAAAATTGAGTCACAGCTAGAGCCAATGATGAGCCCTGAAGAGCAGGGACTTAATTTTGAGAACCACATTAAAGAACTCAGCAAGACACGAAAGCAAATCGAATTAGCACAAAGACAGATGGAAGTCTCCCAGGTTAGGAGGTGCTTAATAAATATTTGTAGAATGAATGAATGAATGAATAAATGAGTGAATCTCTTCCACATGTTACCGTATCTTTTGCTTACCTCAGATTCTTTGTAGTAGCGCTCTGGAATTTCATCACAGGCAATATCAATAAAGCAAACTTCTCTCTCCAGGTCTTTGGCTTCATTGTCAAAAATCTGAAAAAGGACAGCAACATATCAAAGGTTAGAGATACCAGGTGATAGCCTCCAAAGTGCCTGTGGGGTGGCACAAAGGTGCCCGAGGCAGAATGACACCCCATAGAGCATCTTCATACGGTTCAGTGCCCCTGGCTAGCGCTTTCGCTGCCTCAGAATGTGCAAGAATCATAAAAGGCTTTTTATTCATTGCTTAGGTTTTGTCATATCAGAGGCAGGTATAGCATCAATCACTGCTTGGTGAGAGGTAGAGGAAACAGTGGGCTGTTTTTAGAAGTGCAAGGGTGAGGAAATGAATCTCTTCCAAAAAATCTCTTCTAAAACTGAAGTCTTCTGATTTTTGGCAGTTAATCTGAACAGGGGAATGAAGAGGCTGGGAAGGGTCTGGCTCGATTTGAGGAAAAAAGCAATGATATAGCCCAAAAGGTATGTGTTTTCATTAAAATTTATATATATATTTAATTTCACCAATAATACACTCTCATTGCAGAAAATATAGATAAGCCAAAAGAAGAAAATAAATCACAACCCCATTATACAGGGATAAACACACGCATTTTTCTTTTTTTTTTTTTGAGACAGAGTCTCACTTTGTTGCCCAGGCTAGAGTGAGTGCCGTGGCGTCAGCCTAGCTCATAGAAACCTCAAATTCCTGGGCTCAAGCAATCCTTCTGCCTCAGCCTCCAGAGTAGCTGGTACTACAGACATGCCCCACCATGCCCAGCTTATTTTTTCTCTATATATTTTAGTTGTCCAATTAATTTCTTTCTATTTATAGTAGGAGACAGGGTCTCGCTCTTGCTCAGGCTAGTTTCAAACTCCTGACCTTGAGCAATCCGCGCGCCTTGGCCTCCCAGAGTTAGGATTACAGGTGTGAGCCACCGCGCCCAGCCACGTATTTTTCTTGATAATTTAAGAGCATGATTTCCTTGGTACTCAGAGGAGTAACAAGATACCGAGATGGCTTCTTGCTAGTCTACTCTAGGTTCCACTGGTCCAGAATGGCTACCACTTGCAAAAAAGATACATAAGACAACCACAATACATAGATACAAATTTTGGTGGAAAGATTAAGTTTCTCTAGTTTTTCCCATTGCCATTTTTTTCTGGTCTAAAGGGATGATCATTCCTTTGAAGAATGGTAAACAGATTAAGTTTAGAAAACCACCTCATTCTTAGAGGAAGTCTTAACTGTACCCCCATCTCACTGTTCAGCTAGTTCCTGCAGGGACTCATAGGTTAACACTAATTACATTTGACTCTTCCGAAGAGAATGAAATATTTTGCAAGAACAGGGTGGTTGATGCCTAAGAACATTGTCTTGACTCAAATTTGGTGCCTATTAATAACATGATCTCCGTCAAGAGAGCATCTGCAGGACTCTTTAGGTTCTACATACTCTTATTGGTTTCTCAAGTTGAAATTATTAGTCCTTTCCAAATGCTTTCTGAATAATATTTATGCTTGTAATTATCCTGCAAGCCTGCTGTTTGATCAACTGCCTATTTCATTTTAAAATATTTGGAGACTGGACTCTTCAGATTCGTCCAAGGAGATTAACTCCTGGGTCTGGCCTGAGGTGGCCACTGCATTTTCCTCAAAGGCAGAGAAAGATTGGCTCTTGGATCAGCTCTGATTCCTTCCACTGCCACTTGAAGTCAAGTGCTTTGGGACACTCCTAAAATGTTTGGGAGGGACAAGTGGATTGCCTCTAAATGAAATTGATGGTGGAGAAACAAGTTCCAATGGAGAAATAAGTTGTGAAATGAAGTTCTGGGTCTCAGATTGTCTGCGTGATCAGTCCCTCTTACCTCCCCTTCTTTTTGCATGAGTCTCTTTTAAGTGTAAGCCACGAGAAGAGAGACAGTGTCTTATTAAGAAGTCAAACAGAATACCCCAGAGGGAAATGAGCTTCTAGAAAGTAAATTATGAAAGAAGTTAAAGAGGTTTGACATTTATTGCTGGTAAAATGCATGGGATTTGAAGAAACGAAAATAAGCAGGAGGTAAGGAGGCCATTGACAGGTGCATGGCTCTATCTAATTTAATTCAAACATTATTGATCACCCATTGTACCAGTTACAGCAATATTACCGCTCAGCTCCCTCCCAATTCACCCTTTTGTCTCTGTGACAATGGACTGGACCCTGTAAGCATGTCTCCTTGACAGTGACCGCAGCACTGCTAAGTATTGTCAGCAGAGGGCATTGGAGGGACACAGCAGGAAGGAGGGCATTTCCCTTCCAGGTTTGGATCTTGTTGGCTGCAGAGTCTGTCAGTGGGGACTTTCAGTGGTGCTCAGCCCCAGCTGCGTGCCTGGAGTGCACGGTGGTTCAGTGAGCTTGCAGCCTTGGCCTGGGCCCAGTAAGCGCTTCATTGATCCCTCTGCCTCCCACACAGGCACCGTGTGATCCAGGCCTTGGTAGCGTGCCCTGACACCCTCCACACACCTACCCACAGACTTCATCTTGCCTATGTCCCAGAAGGCTTTCTGCTGCCCGTCACTAGGAATCAGCTCTGGCTCAGGCAACCCAGCGAACGTCTCTGCCATTCTGTGGGCTACAACTACATCTTCTTCAATGACCTCTGAATCTCAGCCCTGGAGGGGGCCCCTTCCAAGTTTGTCCATCCTTGGGCATTCTCTCTCAGCTTTAGGGTACCTTGTAGAGTTCTCTTTACATCTTTATAGTTGCTCCTATCAAAGATTAATAATTCCTTATATTACATTTCTCCCGTTCAAGATAATGTGTGGTTTCTGTCTCCTGATTGGGCCCTGACTGATACACCTATTGCATACAAAGTGCTGCTCTGGGTTTTAGGGACTGAGTTCCCAAAGATAAGGAGGGCTGAGTTCCTGCCCTTAAGAAGTTACTATCTAGTGAGGGAGACAGACTAGGAAGCTAGTACCAAAAATACAAGGCAGAATAAAGTGTGTGCTCCAAAAGAAAAAAAATAGGCTGTAAAGCTAGGGAGAGGAGCCACTAATGTTGACTTAACATTTATGAGGATAGTAATATTATTACCACTTTTCAGATGAGAAAACCAAGGCTCAAAGAAGTAAAGAGCCTTGACCCAAGTCACCCAGCCGCTCAGTAGAGAAGCTTGGATTCTTCAAGGGCAACTCTCCAGGCTCCACAACCAGGTTTTCCTGTGACAAAAGGCTGCCTCTTAGCACCCTACCAATAAGATAAATATCAGGCAAAAGCATTTCCTGCTTCTTTCTAGAAAGATAAATTTAGAATCTGGTTCTTTTCCAGCTACTTGTAAAATGTATGTCCTGAGTAGCCGTCACTGAGAACTCCCGAATGACACAGGTTCTTCTACTCCTTTGCTGAATAGCTAAGGCTGCAGTAGGATCTACTTAGGTATCCTTCAGTCCAACCTCTCATCTCCACCATTAATATGATGCTTAACTCTTGTGCCAAGGTCCATGAAATAGAAAGCACAGGAAAGTTGCCTTATTTGAACTTTGCAATAAACATTTCAGGGTGGGGTATCCATCACCCGAACAAAGTCACAAAACATCACTTTGAGGACTTCAATATCCCTTTTCAAGCTTGAGATGACAATGAGTCTGAATTTCTAATAAATAATTAATCTCCAATGATTACAGATTTTAGGAGATGCTCACAGGTGCTCAGTGAGCGTCTGCTGAACTAATGGACAGCATTAGCTTCCACCTTCCAAAGAGGAATCTGTGGAAGGGATATTGCTTGATAATTGATCTTGGTTTCCCTTCATGAGTCTGAGTTCTATTCCTTGGTTGTAAGCACTCTGATTTCCCATAATTCCCAATATAGGGCTCAATGTACAGTGGAAACTTCCTACTATGAGTTGTATGATAGTCCTACACTGGCAGTCAGGAGAGGTATGTTTGAATTCAGTTATCTTCTCTGTGTAATCCTGGGCAAGACCCTGCAGCTTCTTTGGGCCTCTGTGTCCTTTTCTATAAAATGAAAAGCTTGGTCCAGGTGGATGGATTTCAGGAGTCTATGAAACATCCCGGAATCTGGAGAGGTATATTTTTCGAGAGAGAGAGTTCAACCACTTTCATCTGATCATTAGAGAGATCTGTGATCCTAATGAGGTTGGGATCAAGTGATCCAGATGACCACTAAAATTCCTTCCAGTTAAAAAGTCCATGACGTTAAGAGTGACCTCTGGGTCACGTCAATCTCCTTCATCTTGTTCCCTGACTTGTTCTTTCTCTGTCCTTTCAGCCCGCAGCCAGCCGACTTGGGTGGTGGACAGAGGAGCTGCCACAAGGAAGTGGGAAGTGGTCGTGGGCATGATATAGTGTACTTGTAGGGCACAGCCAGGGTGAAAGAGTCTCATCTTCACACTCAGTTCAGGGCAGGATCCAGAGTTAAGCCAACACTGTTATAAACAGACAGAGGCTTAGCCAAGTCCCAAAGGAAAACAATCAGCAAGAGTAACTATTCATTTGGGCTTCCCCAGCGGTAGCAGCAGCTCTGGTCCAGCTACTGGCTCTCTGAAGTGGAGTAAGAGATCTGCTGGGATAGCTGTAGGATGAGGTGCATCTTGGTGATGCACCAAGCCAGAGCTTCATGGGATTGCACCTGGCACCAGGGAGCTGTGCCCCTTCACCATCTTGTTTGCTTCTTAGGCAGAATTTGTCTCATTCTGAGATGGGACTTGGGCTTGGGAGTTAATTGAGGAACTCTTCCTATGTCACCTGTAATATCATTCCTGTCTTTGGGTATTAATCAGAGACATGGTGGGGGAAATATGTTTATCTCTCCTTCCCTTCTATTATCTATCTGTGGATGATCTGCAGTGGATTGGGGGGGGGGGAATTTGGGAGGAGTCAGGGGAATCAATGAGAGACCTCCCCCCACTACTGGGGAATGAACACTCAATAGGACAAACTCTTTCTTTTTTTTTTTTTTTGAGATAGGGTCTTGCTATGTTGCTCAAGCTGGTCTCGAACTCCTGAAATTAAGCGATCCTCCTGCCTCGGCCTCCCAAGTAGCTGTGATCACAGGCGCAGACTCCTTTAATATGAACTGAGCAATGCTACAAGGAGAAGGCAAATCTCCTGAATAAACACTATCTCATAGATCTCAAATAAAAAGAGAGTAATTTTCCCTCTTTTATAAAGCATTATGAACAATAAGTATCAAGTGTCTTAAAAATCTTCATATACTTTGACCTAGTAAGCTTATGCTTAGAGAATTTATCTTAAGGAAAGAAGCTTAAATAAAGGAAAAGCTTTATGCACAAAGATTTTCATTGCAACATTATCATAATGGCAAGAAAAAAAAAGATAGAGAAAGAAAGAAAACAGCTTAACTATCCCACTATGGGAGAATGGCCAAGAAAATTAGGATAAATCCATCTGATGAACTATTATGTGCCATGTGGCCTTAACTAAGAAGGGAGGGGCATACTGATAAATAGGGAATGTGAATCACAACAGTCTAGATTTCTCCTTGAACAGGGGCGCCTTTCTAGATTTTATAATCTCCATGGGTTCAGTTCTAGATTTGCTTCTAGATCTTGTGATTTCTTTTATTAAAGCCTATTCGAGAGCATGATGTGGGTGGCTCTTCACAAACTCACAATCTCAGGAACCATGGATTCTGCAGTCCCTTTCTCTACAATGGTAACTTTTCTGGTTTCAGACTCAAGCTCAGATGAGAATTCTCTGTACTTTCTGTACAATTTTTCTGTAAATATGAAACTGCTCTAAAAATTAAAATCTATTATTTTATAAAAATTGAGGACTGGGGGAATGTCTAGACCTAGTAGCCACGTGGATTTTTATCTTTCTGCCATCTGTACAAGCCACCGATGATGCAGGGTAAAAGTGGCTGATTAGTAAGGATTTTGCAAAAAATTTACCATTCATCTTGTTTTATGCTTCAGATATGATTAAAGGGACAAAGAAGCCTAGCTAAGCCGCTGTTCTCCTCTACTATAACATTTTTTCCCTCCTTGCATTTGGGAGCTCTCAGGGGGAAGCAATGGACTAGGACATACCAACAAAGTACAGGCTCAGCAAGCAAGAACACTGGAAGCAGAAGTACTGCTTTAACAATGCTTTCACTCTCAGTCTCTGGATTTGCAAAGTAGCCATTGGTTTGGTGGAAGGAAGGGGATACTGGTCACTGGTTAATACTTTCAGGCATATGGAGCTAGAGATGGTTCATGGGTTGTTGATTATTATTTAACAGCAGCATAACCAGTTGAGGAGAGCCTAAAAAGCACTTACAGTCATGAAAAAAATAGTCCAGGTTATCAGTGACAAAAGCCATCATCTCATTACCCCATCTCTACTGGTATTTTCTCCAAGAACATTTTCACAGCTACACAAGTCAGTGGTGACTGTTTCATAAATACATACCCTCTAGAATCCAACCCAAGAACATCTCAACTTGTCTTGCACATGGCCATAGAACAGCACTAAAAATGACTTTCTTGTCAAAAACATTTTCTGCCTCTATTTTTTTTTTCTATTTTCCAGAATAGAGATTAATGGTTACTTGTTCTGAAGATTGAATTACTGAACTTAAGGACAGTGCTCTAAAGAGAGGAAGAGTCTGGGTGCACAGCAATCAAGGAATCAGTATTTATTGAGTACCTACTTTGTGTTCAACACCATGACTCTTAACATGTGGAAGATAAGGTCCACTCTCAAAGGGACTTGTGATTTTATAGAGACTAGATTTAGTGCAAGATTCAATTGACACCATAGACATATGATGTATATATATTAAGGTACTAAGTACTAAAAGGTGTGCTTCAGACAAGAATATGCTGGTTTAGATTCAGCGAGGAGGTAAGTCACCATATGCTCATAGTAATCTGGGCCCAGGGTTCTCACTTGGCCGGCAGCAGTTATTCAAAAGACTGGCTGTTTGGTTGTGAGAAAAGGAGAATCCAGTCCCACGATGTGGTCCTACAGTGTGGTCCAGAGATGCCAGAGCCAGGGGTATGGCTTACGGCTGCTGAAGTCTTCACCTGAGGCGCCCAGGGAGCTGCCTGCTGGTGCTGGGGGATCTGGGGTCAGTGATGTCCCCAGATTCACTCCTGAGCTGACCTTGCTCTCGGAACGGAATTGGAGCCCCATCTGGTAATATGGTGGGAAGTGCACTGCTTTTATTTAATCCCCATCAAATGCTCCACTTGCCACAGGATTTAGGGGTATTTAGGCTGAGTAAAGGAAACTCATCTGTCAGGGTTAGGCTGGATTGTCTTAGCTGCTGGGTAAACCTCAGTGCTTCTCTAGAGAATGCTCTCTGGTGGACAGTATCATTAAGCCCTTGGTGCAGAGGGGAAAACTGTTTTTCTGAAGCCAGCAGGGAGTCACAAAGCAAACTGAAGGCAAAGGTTTCTGTCCTGGGAGTGTCTGAGAAAATCTTGTCCCCAGTGAGGTGGTGGCGAATCTGTGCTGCACTGCTGTAGCGGTGAAGGGGGGGGGTGCACAGAGGAGCCTGGACGATGCCCTTGGGTCTCACTGGGACCCGATGGCTGTGCTCTTCTGTCTTCCTTATGCTGGCCTGTGTCCTTTCACTGACAGCTCAATTACCTTCTAGTATATCGGGTCTGACTTTTAAAGGGCTCTAAATAGACACTGGGAGGAAGGGACTTAGAAGGAGTCCTCTCTTCAGAAGGCTGTCTTTGGGCCTAGGTCACACTTCCAGACTGTTCTAGTTATGGGATCCTAGAAGAGGGTGGCTGAGTATGTAAGGATGGGGCGAAGCTTTCAAGGCATGACCTGGCGATGTGAGGACACCGCTGAGGGGTGAGAAGGAGTGCTGCCATTGACAAGCTGGGGGAGTACTGACATGGGCGCACAAGCTGCAGTATATTAGATGGAACGGGGTGGGGGGTATTGAGTTGGCTTGAAGGGGAGGAGCACCTTGTGGTGGGGACACCTCGATCAGAGATGAAGGCGGGGCGGAGTGAGGCAGTGGCCTCAGCACTGTCCTCAAGTCTCTGGACAGTGAGCACAGGAGGCTGGCACACCCTTAGGGATGCCCAGGCTTCCAAGAAGGATCTTAAGCTCCCAGTTGAGTGACTAGCAGTGGAGTGAGGATGCCATCAGAGGTCTTTGGGGGGCCAAGAAGCACGAGTAGAAAAGAACCCCATATCTTGAGGCACCTTGATTAAAAAAATTTAGTGTTCGTGGTGTCAGGAAAGGAGCCTTGCTTGATTCTTTTACTAGTCACTGAACAATATTTCTCTATATTAGTTTAAACTAATTAAACTCCTAACTAGAACTCTCTGACAAGAATGCTAGCAAGATAGTAGTTTAGGGAAATTTGACATGTTGCTCATTCCCAGTTTGAGCACAAAGAAACGAGTGGTGGACTCTCAAATTGTTCAGGCTGGCCCTGGACTGGACAGAAAGCACACTCAGCAGGGTGTTTTTTCTTCTTTTTTTAAAAAAGTTTCTTAGGAACTAGATGTCTTTAGCTTGAAAAATACAGTCAAGTATAGGGAAGAAATTAGCAACCAGCCATAAAAGTTATGCATATCTTAATCCTCCAATCCTTCTACTATGGGACAGATAATTTTTTTTTTTTTTTTTTTTTGAGACAGAGTCTCAGAGTGAGTGCCATGGCGTCAGCCTAGCTCACAGCAACCTCAAATTCCTGGGCTCAAGCAATCCTGCTGCCTCAGCCTCCCGAGTAGCTGGGACTACAGGCATGCGCCACCATGCCCGGCTCATTTTTTCTATATATATATTAGTTGGCCAATTAATTTCTTTCTATTTATGGTAGAGACGGGGTCTTGCTCTTGCTCAGGCTGGTTTTGAACTCCTGACCTTGAGCCATCCTCCCGCCTTGGCCTCCCAGAGTGCTAGGATTACAGGCGTGAGCCACTGCGCCCGGCCTGGGACAGATAATTTTAAAAGTAAACTTTATACAAAATCTTGTGCCATCTTGTCATTCACAAAATGCAAATGACAACTCAACACCTTTAATAAGATATGTTGATCCTTGTTTTTTATTTTAAACGCCCTGCCTCAAAAACCACCTTTTTTCATTGATAGTTTTTGGGTGTGCAGGTCTATGAATTTTAACACATGTATGAATTTTTGTAATTATCACTACAAAAAATTAAGTTACAGAACAGTTCCATCACCCCAAGAAACTCATTTATAGTCACACCCCCCTCCCCCGCCCCATTGGTCTGTTCTCCATCCTATGGTTTTGCCTTTTCAAGACTCTCATATACATGGAATCATATAGAATGTAATTTTTTGAGACTGGCTTCTTCTCAGTGTAACGCCTTTGAGATTCCTCCCATTGCTACGCATGTCAAAGTTTATCCCTTTTTGGTGCTGCAAAGTATTCCATCATGTGGCTGTGTGACAGTTTGTTTATGCAGTCCTCTGTTTTTAGTTTGGGGCGATTATGAAAGAGTTGCTAAAAGCATTTGTGGATAGGTTTTGCGTGAACACCAGACTGCATTTCTCTAGGGGTGATACTCAAGAGCAGGGCTGCTGGGTTGTAGGGTGTGTGTTGATGCTTCTTTGTAAGCAGAGGACTCAATACTCCTACAACATGTTGAGTGGTGTCCCTCCAAAATTCATGTCCACCAGGAACCTCAACACTGTGACCTTATTGAGCAATAGGGTCTTTGTAGAAGTAATTTAGTCAAGGATATTGAGATGAAATCATCTTGGATTTAGGGTGGCCCCTAAATCTGATGACTAGTGTCCTCTTAAGAAGAGGAGAGGACATGGACACAATTAAGATACAGAACAGTTCCCATGGGAAGAAGGTGATGGAAAGACAGAGACAGAGATTGGAGTGATGCAGCCACAAGCCAGGGGACACCAGGAGCCCCCAGAAGCTGGAGAGGCAGGGGAGAATCATCCCACAGAGCCTTTGGAGGGGACCTGGTCCTGCCAACACCTTGATTTCAGATGTCTAGCCTCCAGCACTGACAGAGAATAAATTTCTGTTGTCTCAAGCCATCCAGTATGGTAATTCATTATGGCAGCCCCAGGAAACGAGTACAACTCTCCCTGCTTTTAAGGACCCCTTTCTTCCATTCTTCAGGTCAAGATGAAACTCTCCAGTTCCTGGAGTCAGAAGAGCTGGCCTTCCCAGAGGCCTTACTGTCCTGTACATTCATGAATAAAGGCAACGAGGCCTTTTTTTGTTCTCCGTTATTAAATGTATGCAGGCAGAATAAAGGTTAGAAAACTCAAAAAGAACACATTTAATGTGGAGTTTCAGACCAGCCAATGGTGGGCATTTGTCCTTTTCCATTCTCTACCCACCCCAAAGGTCACAGAAAATTCAAAACAACAGACAGAAGCCTGACGACAACAATACGTCCGAGAGACAGGGGACAGGAATACCTCAGGGCAAGGCTCATCGGTGAAGTTCAACATGAAAAGCCACAGATAAACGCACCTGGGGAAAATGAGAATAGGCAGATGAAAGAGTGGAGGCTGCCTGGGAAAGTGGCGAGGCGGAGATCTTAGGGGAAAAGCGGATAACAAAGTGGCTATGAATTCACAGCGTGATCCCTTTGAGGGAAAGGACACTTCTATTCCAGGGTTTGTGTCTAGAAAGAGCTCCAGCAAACCAGCAGGGGGCTGAGAACCATTTCGTGCAATGACCCCAAGTCCTACATATGGTAAACCCTGGCTCATGCGGGTGACATAAAAGGTGAGGAAGAAGGTTCAAGAGACAGTAATCAAAGTGACATGGTCAGTGACTGATGAGAAAAAGATTCTGTTTGGAAAAACAACGCTCTAATCAGGTGCTGTAGGTCATGGCAACTAATTAAGAGGACAGAAAAGTACATTAAAGCAATGTGGAGAGTCACAAATGCTATGACTCAATTCATTTACTAAAAAGGCTGTAAGGGCACAAAATTGCTTCTAAGCTACGGTTCCCAGGGCAGCTGCAACAAGGCTCCTTTCATAAGCTTGGTCTAATTTCAGTGCAGAGTAGCCTCAATCCAAATTCTTCCTCTAGGCTGCCACCTCCTTTGGACACACAGACTGTCTCATGAGACAAGGCCAACACTTCCCATGAGCACGTGTGGAGACTGGCACAGGGATGGTGTACGGTTTCCCTGCAGTATGATCAATAATGCTTCCTAAAATAAGTCTCAGAAGCCAAGCTTAAAATAGTTTCAATTTCTCCCAGTTCTTTCTTATTTCAATTCACAGGGTGGTCTCTGGGAACTAGAACTGCTGGTTTTCTGTAAAGTTGACAAATTGATATTGAACCTGGATGTGCTCACAGGCTTGCACCGGGCCAGCCTGCAATAGCCTCTGAGTTTGGCATTTGCTATGTTGAGGTGACTTTGGTCTCTACCCTTTCCTAAACCGTTTTTGTGTGTGTGTGTGTGTGTGCCTAAACAAAGAATCCTTTGCACAAAGAGGCAGAGTTCCCGACACAGAAAAATGACAGGCACTTCCTTTCCACTGGGAAGCCACTAACTCAGCCTTGAGGGAAGAGAATAAAATATGGGGACAGATGGCTTGCTGAGGCCAGCATGGTGGGGCTGCCACACTGGGCTGTCGAAAGACAATGAGGCCGGCAGCCTTGCTCTCTAGAGGCCAGAGAGTTCCCTTCTCTTGTTCCCCAAACAAGCGTCCTGAGGTCATCACGGCTTGTGTCTCCTTCCAGCTCATTCCTGGCGAGCCTTTCTGGGCAAAAACAATGGAATGGGCACCAGCCCCAAACCACTTAAGCATCATGGCAGATTGCATCTATTGTCAGAAAAAGCAAAATAAAGGAACAAATTGTTACATTTTCCTGGTAGGTTGTGTTTTGTTTGGTTTTCCTTTCTACGTGAATTGGTTGTAAAGTCGGGGAACTACGCAAGGCCTCCTGGCTGAGCTCCACAGACCTCCCGACCAACTCAAGGCAGCCGTCCGAAGGCTCCAGAAGGAGCTCTCCAGGCATGGGTGAGACAGACTTGGGCCAGCAGATGGGGAGAGGGTTGGCTTCCAGAGCTCTTCCCAAGGCTTTGGTATAATCGGGTCCCAGGCTCCTGGAAGGGCTTGTCATTTCTACTTTTCCTCAGCAGAAAGGAACCTGCTGCCATGGCCCTGCCTTGATGGACCAGCTCTCACATGCGCTCTTGTGAATTGACTTTGGGCTATCTGTGATGTCATTTTTAAATAACAACATTTTCTTTTCTCTTTTATCCTTATCATAATCATAATACTTCTTTATCATGGAAAGAATAAGAATCTTTAGTATGGGATCTCATCTGTAAAGTGAGAGCAGTATCAGCACCTCCATCACTGGGCAGCAGAGAGGATTCAGTGACATAAAGCAGGTAAAGCCACTTCATTTTGACCTGGCATGGGAAGGGTCCTGTCAGTGTTAGACATCAGTGTCATTTAGGGGGAAGAGGGGGGAAGAGGAGGGAAGCACCCACAAACCTGACACTCATTTTTTAGGTCTGAATTGCATTTCAACATATGGCGGTCACATAAATGAGCTAATTTTCTGCTGTTAAATGTTTAAAACCTTTCTTTTTCTTTTTTGGCCTTTTTTCATGTTATTTATAATAATGCAGCAAATGCTTATAATAAAATGTTAATCTTTACTGCTAATGACCTAGCAAATCTCCTGGATATCTCAGACATGTTTCCTGAATTTCAGACCTATTGATGGCCACTGACAATTGGACACTGATCTCTGGTTTCACTCTAAATGAGTATATTCCAAACTATATTCATCATCCCCATTCCTCCCCTTTGGCTCTAAGGTTTAAGCCTGTTTCTCTTTGTGATCCTTTAATCATCCAAGGTAGAAACTTGGGTGCCATCCTATGCTCATTTCTTTCTCAGTCTCACATCCAGTCAGGCATGATTCATTCCACTGCTCCTATATCTCACCAATCCATCTCCCTGACAGCCTTGAAATCTCTATCTCACCTGGACAACTGCAGAACGCTGAACTTTCTTTCTCTTGAGGCTCTGATCTGATCATCCATCCATCCATCCACTCATCCATTTATCCAGCCATTCATCTATCCACACCTTGCCCACGAGTTTTCTTCTCAATACACCAGGACACTTTCTTCAATGCTCCTGGAACATGTCAGTTCATGGTGGAAAGAGCAGAGTCCAAGTCAAAATATCTGGTTCTAATCCTGGATCCACCACTTCGGAGTTCTGTGACCCTAGAAACTCCTCCAGGCCCCCATTTCATCCTCTGGAAGTGAGCAGTCTAGGTGTCCCTTACTGAGCTGTCAGGACCCAGTGACATAACAGGCATGGGGGTGCTTTGCAAACTCCCAAATGCTGTACAAATATATGGACTTAGTATGCCTGTCTCCACTCATCAACTTACCTGCCTGGAGTGTCCTCTTTTCTCTCTTCCTTGCTCCGGATCTGCCCCTTGGACCCTGAAGCTTTCTAACCACACCCTGCTCACTGCTTCAACCTTCCAGGCCCTTGTTTTAGCTTTGCCTCTGCCCTGAAGGCTCTTCCCTACCTTATCTGCCTGGCACACACCAACTCATCTTTCAAGATCATGGCCTTGCCATACCTTTCTTGATCACCTTTAGCAAAGCATTTTAGAAAAGCAACAATGTGTATAATGAACTCATATTTTGGGTAACATTTGGTTATTGTTTAATTCTTGGGCTCCCATAGGCCCTAATCCAAATCTCCCTGATGGAATTACCAGGGAACACTAACCTCTACTAAGTGATTTGTCTCAGCTGTTGCTACTTTTGTTAAATCAGGGGGTCATAAATCATTAACACTCCAGGAAAGACTGAACAATTATCCTTCAACTCCAAGCTTTTGAAGTCCCACCTCTGACAGCCAAAGGCAGTAAGTGGCAACAGGCCCATTGTGATTTTTGTTTTAAAAATCATTCATCTATCAAACTAAGGAATCCAGTAATTCAAAGTAAATGTCCTGGTTATATTGGTTTGGATAGCTGCCTGGACATGGAAGATGAAATAAACTTGACAGGTGATAGTAAAAGTCTTGCATTTTGCTGAATTCTACAAATCTGGACTAGAAGCAGCCCAAGGATTCTAGTAAGAGGATGGTCATTGCTGAAGTCCCACTAAGTTCTCTCAGTACTGCAACTATGACATGTGGCCTTGGAGTCACAGAGAACATGCTATACAACGGATGCATCACGTTTATCTGCATCCCTCAGATATTCTTTTAGTATCTCATATTTTGAAAGGGGCTTAGCAGTTAATTAAAAAAAAATTTTGTTGTTGTTGAACTGAACTGTTAGACCAAATGCTATGTACCTTGAATTTTAATGTTAGCACTTGTTTGCTAGTAGTTTATTCACTTTGTTTCCTGCCAGCAGATGACATCTTATTAGCCAACAAGTCGTGGCAGATGTCAAAGTTTAGAAAACAATTTGCAAGATAAAAAAGTAAAATTCAGATAAATGCCTCCACTAAGTGTATATATTTATGCAAATTAGGAAAAACAATGTCAAATTTAATTTTAGAAGCAGAATCCCCTAAATCAGAGAATACTTTAAGAATCATGCTTCATTACCAAGGACTACAGAGCTCTAGGGGCAATTTAAGTTCTTTGCACTGAACATGCCCTTCCAGAATGTTCTAAATAGTGCTTCCTGTGCTTTCATGTGCACACAAATCACCTGGGGATTCTTGCTTAAATGTATGTTCTGATTCAGTAGGTCTTGGGAGGGGCCTGAGATTCTAACAAGCACACAGGCAATGCTGATGCTGAAGACTCTAGAAACATCTGCCATTTCAGGGATATAAGTTTGAGGCAAGAGAAACTACACAGTAGTGGTCAAGTGACAGAAGGTCTTATGGGCCAGCTACTGTGAAAATGGTCAGATTTGGGGTCGAAATGCCCCCCCACCCACGAGGTAGCTCTGTGGGAGATGGGTTTAGTGAGAGATTATTCTAGAAAAGAGATAAGGGCCTTAGCTAGGGCAATGGTAGTTGGAATGGAGAAGTAGGATGGATGTAATATTTAAGAGGTAAAGCCATTCAAATGGAATGCCCAATCTGGGGTACAAAAGGCAAACTTGGAGCCAGGGGATGTGGCCTCGTTTTTGCTAATCCAATCAGATCCACTTCTGCTGTGAATGACCCCATGAAGACTTTCTCAGCAGTCTGCAGGAAGTTAAAGGCCAGGCTAGAAGGATCCCTGTTGCCCCTGCTTCAGGATTCTTCCTGCTCTCTCTCTCTCGGGGTGACTTTTCAGCGCAGGCAGTCATCTTTCCTTGTCCAGTGCTTAGAAGAACATGTCAGCCTGAGCCTTGGCTGATACTGACCTCTCATACTGGCCTCCGACACCAGCTCTGTGATGAACATGGCTTGGAAAACCCAAGGAGGACAAAATCTTCTCAAAGGCCAGACAATAAAATGCAAGGAAGCCACACGTGTCGGATATTTTGAAAGTCCACAAAGACCCAATATTGCTAATCTAGAATTCCTGCCAAAGATGCACTGTCTGAATCTAATCATGAAAACACAATGAGGAAAACTCAACAATGAGGGATGTCCACAAAACTAGCCAGTGTTTTTCAAAATGTCAGTGTCATGGAAGACAAAGAACAGCTGAGAAACTGCCCCAGACTAAAGAAAGTGACAACTAAATGCAATGTGTGAGCCTATATTGGAACATGAATCATGAAGGTTTTTATTTTTTAAATTTTTTAAACTTGATTAGTTTTTTAAGAGTCTAGCCTAGGCTAGACTCAAACTCCTAGGCTTAAGTGATCCTCCTGCTCCAGCCCCCCAAGTAGTTGGACGAATCATGAAAGTTTTTATTGTTGTTTGCTATAAAAGACATTATTGGAATAACTGGCAAGACATAAATATGCTTCTATACCAGATAACAGTATTGTATCAATGTTAAACTTCCAGAATTTAAGCATTGCATTATGGTTACGTAAAGGGACATGCACTCTGAAGTATTCAAGGGTGAAGGGTCATGATGTCTGCAATGTACAAAGGGTTCTGGGGAAAAAATAATGTATAAATATTATGGAGACAAAGAGACAAAGCAAATGGAGAAAAATGTTAACAATTGTTCAATCCAGAATCACTGTACTATTCTTGCAAACTTCTCTGTAGGTTTGAAATTTTTTCCAAATAAGAAATTTAAAAGAAAGCTACCACAAATCTTGCACTGGTTTAGAGAAAGCAGGAAAACTGGGCACATCCTCCAGTCTCCTGAGAGTTGATGGCAACAGGTCATGCCCTGCCCATCTGCAGTGGTCAGGCTATGGGCTGTTGGCCCTGCATGGCCTGAAGAGCAGGGCTGGGGAGGGGACCTTAAGGGAGCAGTCCCAAGGCTCTTCTGGAAAATGCTACCTTCGCTCTGCTGAATCATGCAACTCCTGCAGCTGGCTCTCTCTTTCCCGAAATCTCAGAATGCTGTACCCTGAAGGGAGCAGGTAGTTAGAAAAGTGCTGTCTTGCACCAGGTCCCACTGCTGCAATGATGCTCTGCCACTGGGGAGCAGGTGCCACAGATTTCCGACCACTGTGCATTCTTTCCTTGGAGCAGCACAGGACGAGAAGGTAGCAACCTGAAGTTTTGTACAAGTTTCCTCCAACTCCAAGTAGAAAAATGGGCCCTGTTGATTTGCTATTTTCCCCGTGCTGCAGGTCACACACTCCATTCTGCACATGGGCCAACCAAGGACAGCAGAGCGGGGGAGGCTGGTTATTGCAGAGACCATTTTAAGGTCAAGCAACTGCCAAGTTTTTAGACAGGCAATGGTTTGTTTCTATGCTTATCTGGATATCTAAGGAGAATAATCTGAATGAAGGTTGCTAAGAATTACAAGAATTCTTTTGCACCTTTCCTCCTTTTTTTCTTTCTCTCGCTCTCTTTTTATTATTATTTTTTAATGAAAAGAAAAGAAAAGAAAAAAAAAAAAAAGAAACTCTTCTGGCCCTGAGCCTAAAATCTCATACTTGTGATGCTAATCTCTTCTTGCTGGCTCCACGCCACTGCTATTGGCTCTGTGCCTGTTTAATATCACGGTTGCTGATAGTAGGTTGTGGCCACGTTTCCATTAGAAAGTTCAGTTTTAAAAATGTTTCTGAGATGGAGACACAATCTTTTAGGCAAAGGGTCCTCAGTCCATGCCTAGTCATCCAAGGGTGGGTTCAGGGGTCTCCAGCCTGCGTTTGCAAACCTCTCCTCCTTAGCTGAATTTAAATATGCTCCATTGGAGCTCTTTGGAAAAGCTAGTTTTCAGAGTGATGCTTCATTTCCTAAATATTGTCTCATCTCTTTGAAGGCAGTTAAATTTGGGTCTGAGTAAAAAAGGGTCACTTGCCGTAATGACAACAAAAAAG